TTAAATATTTTGATTACAATGGTATAAAAAGAATCCAAACTAAGGGAAAGAAACTAGAATAGAAAAAAGGAAAGAATTTTCTCTTGGTTTATCATTTGTAAAGGTAAAGGTTCTCCTTGCACATAGGTGCTAGTTGTTCCTGACTCTAGGGGGCAGTGCTCATCTCGTTTCAAAGCTGAAGAGCCAGCGCTGTCCGAAGATGTCTCCGTGGTCATGTGGCCGGCATGACTAAATGCTGAAGATGCACGAAACGCTGTTATCTTCCCACCAAAGGTGGTTCCTATTTTTCTACTTCATTTTTTACATGCGTTCTAACTGCTAGGTTGGCAGAAATTGGGACAAGTAATGGGAGCTCCCTCTGTTACGCGGCGCTAGGGATTCAAACCACTGAACTGCCAACCTTTCTGATCGACAAGCTCAGCGTCTTAGCCACTGAGCCACCCTGTCCCCCCTTCACTAGACTAGACATACCCAATTTCTGCAAACCTTCATGTTTTAGCCTTCAGACCGCCAATCATCTTTTTCGCCTTTCTCTGCACTCTTGCCAGCATCATGATGGATAGGAAATTAAAAATAAAATACTTTGAGCATGCTGGGAAATTGTGAGCTGCATAGGTGGAGGGTGTAATGAGAGAACGATTGTAGCATGGATGTTTTTTCCTTATGTAGAGGCTCTATGGCTTGATAAAATGCATGGATGGAGGTGGGCTTCTTTGCCAAGCAATAAGAATTCCCTCATTTTTTACTTCACCACAGAGAAAACAAGGAGAGCAGATCCAGAAATTACGGAGGGAAGACTTTATTAATTGTGACTCAAAAGTCATTTGGCAGAATTCCAAGAGGATACAAGAGGAGAAAGGGGGAAAAATTAGAAAGTCCTTTAGGCAAAAAATATTTCAAATGCAAATATGAATGAAACTGGAAGCTTTTCTTTTCGGTATGATTGGCAAGACAATTTTATAACAATTTGGAGTGATATCTGTTTGCATGGTGATAGCTGTGGGGATTGTACTTGAAAAGAAAAAGGGATGCCGACTGGATTTTAAAATTGACAATTAGCAGAGATGAGAAAATTAAATGCTTTGATTAGAGATAATGGACTAGACAGCTTTATAAGATATTGGAAACCATTTGTGGACTTTCTGCAAGCTAAATACAATAACAGATGGTTAACAGAGGGATTTGAATATTAGTGTAATGTTTAGCTCAACCTGCTCAATTACATATAGTTGTTAGTTGCGAAGTCGTGTCTGACTCGTGACCCCATGGACAACGTTCCTCCAGGCCTTCCTGTCCTCTACCATCCTCTGGAGTCCATTTAAGCTCACGCCGGCTACTTCAGTGACTCCATCCAGCCACCTCCTTCTCTGTCGTCCCCTTCTTCTTTTGCCCTCAATCTTTCCTAGCATGTGGCTCTTCTCCAGGGAGTCCTTCCTTCTCAATAGGTGGCCAAAGTCTTTGAGTTTTCCCTTCAGGATCTGGCCTTCTAAAGAGCAG